TTTTGCATGAATTAAAACCTCGAAGATGGCAGGAAGCTACAGGTATGGAGGTGTTCCCTGGAGACCCCATAACTTTAGCATCCTATATTTAATGGAAGTTTAGTCACAAAGCCATTTCTGAGGCTGGTGCCTTGAGATGAGGTTGAGAACTTTAAGGATTGTAATAGCTGCCGCCTTCAGGGATCTGAAGGGTGCCATGGAGTGGGGTGGGGTGGGGTCTAGCACTTAGTTAATATGGATCCAGAAGGCAAATCTGAGATTACTATATGCATGAAACAGGAAAGAGATGGCTTACCTCATTGAAAGGAAAAGTTTAATGAAAGACATTGCTTTGTCAAAACCAAGTAGGTTAGGAAGTAATAAGTTGACTACAGAAGATATTTCAGCAGAAGCTGTAAATGCAGACAAGGTTAGAGAGAAGATTCTTTCTTTGGGATTCACAGTTGATCTAGATGATCTTTAAAGCCCATTTCAAGTCAGAGATGATATAACAATGACTAACATTTATTCACCATTTACTATTACATGTCATAGTGCTTAGGAGAGCAGGAATTGCCATCAGACTACCCAGGTTCAAATCCCTCCCGTACCACCTGCTGCCCAAGTGACCCAGGGCAAATTGTTGAACCATTTCAAGGTTTATTTGACTCACCCATAAAAAGCAGAAAAACAAAAGCCTACTTTATAGATTTGATGTGAGGATAAAATGTAAACCTTTAACAGGGTGCCTGCTTGGCCTATAGTAAGCACTCAATAAATGCTAGCCATCCTTATAAATGCTGTTGTACGGAAATGTGGGCTGCTATAGAGAACATAGGAACTCCCTGCCTCGGCCCCAGTATAGGGGAGTAAGCATACCAGGCTGAGTAAAGTGGTGCTCTATGAAGACAGGATTCAGGCATTTCAGGGGGAAGAGACATCAAGGACAAAGGAAGAGGTGGGATTCCAGAACCTGTTCTGGGAGTAGAGAGGCATCGGTCAGGTGGGTTGAGAAAGGGTAAGGTAGTGGAAGCTCTGCTTGGTGAATTAGATTGAGACCCAGTCATGGGGGAGCTTGAGAACCACACTAAGCAATTAACTCAGGGGGGTTAAAGTGGCCTTAAAGTATGAAAACGGGTTGCTTTCCACATTTATGCATCCTTCTTAGACCCTGCTGAGTCTAGTTGGAGTCAGAAAAAACTTGGAACACTCATTGCCAGGCAAAGATATAACCTACAGCTGTCTGGATTAGAGGGTGGTTATTTTATAACTTTGGTCATTTAACAATTTGAGAAGGATTCTAGACAGCCCACCACCCTTATTTGTTCATAAAAGCTTTAGTAAGGAAAAATTATGGGCATGGTATCATGTCCTCATTGGGAAAAAAGAGAGTTGTTCCTTGCATGTTTCCGAGGCTCTAGGGGGGTTTTGGAGAGGGAAAGCCTGTCTTTACCAGAGCTACAGGTAGGTTATTAATTTGGGGCCCACAAATTATTAGGGCAAGGACGAAACTTACAGACACGTGCTACAATTCTACCAATTTCCTGGACAGAGAAATGGAAGACCAGAGAGGCCAAGTCACATAGCAAGTCAGTGACATAATGGCAGACCTACCATTTCTCTTTCTCGTTCCCATCCTTTCTGCACAGTTCTCGCTAACACTATTTCTCTCCTGTAGTTTCTGAGAGTTTCTATATGTAGATATGTACTGAGTATCATATTTACAACTAAGATGTGGATGTATGTGCAGAGGTGTGTTGTACCACATCATACCAGATGTTGGTTGCTTCCAGAAGCAGGGGTCCCAGATGTCTGAAATGCAATTCAGTCAAACAATGGCGAAGAGTCTACAGGAAATAGCAAAAGTTTTGCATAAAATGAAAAGGCTGTGGACACCAAAGTCCTAAGGCTAGCCAGGCATGGGTGGCTGCACTGTAAAAGGAAGCATGAGTCACTATGACCCATGAGTTCCCTCTGGTGCAGACTTGGCCAGTCTGGGCTGGAGTGTTCATGCCCTTGCGCCTTCTGCACCTGTTCCCCATGGGCACTCAGATATGGGGCTTCGGGCCCCTTGACCTTCTACCTGGTGTGAAATCCATCTCTCTTCTGGTGGGGCTTGTCAGACACCCTGAGCAGGGGTTTTGCTCCTGGAAACTGAGAAATGCAGAGTAGAAGTGCAGCTTCTGGTACTGGTGCCCCAGACAGCCTGCAGGCTGACCTTCAGTGAGGTCATTTGATAAAGAGTAAGTTGGAATACCATAGGCTTATTTATCTTGATAGAAGTACTATTTTATTGGAGAAAACATCCTGCTATACAGAAGGAGGTATTACATTGGCCTCTGCATAGCAAGCTCAAGTTCTAAATTAAACTTAATTTGTGCCAATGGGGATTGCATCAGCTGGTTACATACACACTTGGTGCGTGTGTGTGTGCGCATGCACACACACACACACACACACACACACACAATTCTGGTGATTCTTACCTTCTATGTTCTTGTTTTTCATCATAATGTTTACTATAGCAACAACTGCAAAATGCTTCTAGAGAATTCATTCCTGGTGTTGGGTGATATGCTTTGACTCCAGGGCGAGGTTTACAAGCTTCCCTCAACCTCACATATTTTCTGGGAATGTCCTCAGCCTCTGTTCTCACCTTGGCTTATGGCTACAACCTGAGACAGCTCCCAACACACCTCTGAGGCTGGTTAAGTCAGTTCACTTCTCTGGGCATTGATTGCCTTAATTCAGAGACAAGAATACTGACTTGAAGGATAAAAAGTTTAATAAAAAGAAATCCTTTCCAGTGTTAAGGTTCAGTGGCTACGATTTAAATTCTGCCTTTCTTACCGTGTCCAGTATAAAACTGGTAGAGTGACACCTCCCCAGAGCTCTTCAGTTATGTAGTGGCCCCTGAGGAGACAGACCCTGAGCCAGGCATTACCCACAATGCCTCATTAAGAGCTTCCTTCCTCCATCCAGTGGCCTCTATCTTCCCTCCTGTACTTGAAGGATTCCAATTTATAAGTATAAAGCTCTTTGAAACTGTACATGGTATCGTCACAGGGGACCTTAGTGTTGCCATATACTTTAATTCCCCATTGAACAAATGGACAAACAGAGGCCAAGAGACGTGACGTGTCCGAGGAACCAAAGCCAGCCAGTTGCAGAACTGGGATATACATTTATATCTCCTAACTTTGGGTTCAGTGCTCTTTCCACTGCACCTGGGTGCCTGTCATCAATTGGTTACAGGCTTCACAGGAATGGTATTCACACAGATGGCTTTATGCACTAGATCTTCTTTGGTAAGATTTCAAGACGAATTTCTATTTCAGCTCTAAAATATTTACATTGGGCATCAGGGGGTCCATGGACCCCTACAGCAGTAACAGGGAGCCTGACGGGTCAAATACGCCTCACCCCTCTTCCCCAGAGTTGTGGCCTCGGTAGGTTCTAGTGAACCACTTGCTGGAAAGACATGAACTTCAATCCTCAGAGTCTGGAATGGCCATATTGAGTGATGAGAAGGTAGAAAGACGTTTATTTTGTGAATATTTTGTTCTAGATCCCATGCTGGACAAAGCTGATCAAAGCTGGGACTTTGGGGACAGTCATATAGGATCCCATCCCGGTTCCATTAATGATTAGCTGTTGAATTTTGGGCTTCTCTGCTTTAGCTTCCACATTTGCAAAATGGATCTGCTGCTGCTGTTACCTACCTATGGAGGTTGTTATTAGGATGAAATAAATTAATATGTATAAAGCACTTAGGATAATGTCTGATACCTAGTAAGTGCTATATAGTGATTGCTGTTTCTATGCAAATTAAAAAATATGTTCACATGAAAACACATGTTTTGCCAGAACAAAATGACACACATTAAATATATTAGAATAGCTACCTGTGAGAGAGAATTGCTACCTATATAAGAGAATTGCAAATCAGACAAACAAGAACAACCAAAGCAAGTGATTGCAGAGCCCTTGCTTTTCATCTCTACAGATATTGCTTCCTTGTTATCCCATTGTCAAGGTGAATAAACTGAGGCTAAGATAAAATATGTCAAGGCATCAAGCATTCATGCAGGGGCAGGAGGAGCACTTGGAAGGTGGTCTCCTGTACCAGATGGGAATTTTAGGCCTTTCTTTTTCATCTGCAAACTCCAGGATCTGCAGGCTGCCCATAAGTCATACTGTTTGAAGAACCTGTTCAGATTCTGAGCTTCTGCAGAGAGTAGAGTTAAGAGATGTGTTTTCCAGCTGCAGGAGGCACTGTCTGTGAGATCTAGAATGCAGGACCATGAACTTCATCAATAAGTTGTATACAAATAGGTAGCAAAAATGAAATTATAAAAGATTAGAAAAAAAAAACACTTTAGTACCCCCAAATAGAGGAGTAGCTAAATAAATTATGCTCCACTAGATCACAGAATATAGGCAGCCCACAAGATGGAATAATATTAATTACTTAGAAAAATATTCACTATATATCGCCATTTAAAACATAGATCACAGTGGGGCATGTAGAATGTGTGTGTGTGTATGTGTACACACACACACACACACACACATGCACAGATAAGTGGCAGTCAGGATGCATATATTGTAATATTAACAGTGATTATTTTGAACACGAGTTTTAGCAAGAGTTTTACTTTTGCTTTTATCTATATTTTCCAACTTTTCTAAATAAAACTGGGACTTTTATAAAGGAAAATAGTTTATTAAAAAATATCAGGAGAGGCACCAGGAATAAAGGCTGTTTTCCCCCACGTATATTGCTCTCGTCTTCTATCATCAGGTTGAAAATCATCTCTTCTCCTCCTACCAGGCTGATGCAATGGTACCCACCTTTGTGCAAAGGCAGTTGCTCTTGTACAAGGCTGTCCAAGTACAGATCCGTTGCGTTCTGGCTATTGGGTACATACACAGTTACCACCTGGCATAGAGCCTGGTACAGGGGTATGTTTGAAATGAATGACTTAAATGAATGAGTATGGGCTCAATAACTTGGATTTGAATATGAGCTCTCTGCCATTTATAAGCTAGATGAGTCCCGCCTCCTGATCTGTAGAGTGACAATAACGATTGTGGGTCAAAGGACTGCCAATAGTTTTTGTAAATGGCCCAATGCCAGTCACAAATGGGTGGGAGTGCAGAGAGTTTATTATTATTGCTGCGTCTATTAACAGGTCCACAGCGTCCCATCCCTAAGGTCTCTTTGGCTCCCTAAGGCATCATGGTTACCATAGCAGCCAGATGCTGATGATGCCTCCAGGGGCAGCGAGGTGAGGCTGAGCCAGCTCCCGGGTCTTCGCCTCTGCATGCCCTTCACAGGCCAGAGTGAGATGGCCTGAAGCTCAGCCTCCTTTCAGGCCCCCCACCTGCCTCAGGTCACTTAGACCCACAAACCCTGCCTCCGCAGCCTCAGTTCGGGGCCTTCCAACACCCCTTTGAAGAGTCCCTCCTCCCCAAGCTCTGTCTCTTGGCGCCCTGCCTGGTTGCTGTGGAAACAGGTTCCACTGCGGACAAAGGAGGGAGCTGGGTCCTGCTTCCTCCCGGTCCTGTCGATGAGGATTTTTAGACCGTGGAAACTGCGCTGCCCTGCCCTACACCTGCCCTCGCTCTCCGTGTTCTCGCTCAAGTGGAGCCTGCCCTCCTTTGCCACTGACGAGACCATGTGTAAAAGCGTGACTACAGGTGAATGGAAGAAAGTCTTCTATGAGAAGATGGAGGAGGCCAAGCCGGCCGACAGCTGGGACCTCATCATAGATCCCAACCTCAAGCACAACGTGCTGGCCCCTGGCTGGAAGCAGTACCTGGAATTGCATGCCTCGGGCAGGTGAGTGGCCCGGGCAGTAGGGGCCTGGCAGGCTGGGGGCACCTTCCAAGAAGAAACAGAGATATAGAGAACCCAGATGCTTAGGGTCAGTCTCGCTGGGCCGGAATAGACTGGGAGGCAGAGAAAGAGTCCCTCACTGGGAAGTGGGATACTGGAGTTTCATTCCAGCTCTTCCTCTGCACTCCTATGTAACTTTCCCCCTCTGAATCCTAGCTACTGCTTCTGACGAAGAGGTGGGACATACTTACTAGTTCTAACCTCTGACATTTTACATATTTTCGGATTTTAATCCTCTAAATGGGTTGAAAACCAAGAGACGGGGGGCTCAAGGTCTATGGACGTTGAGTTCTGTGCTCTGGTCCTGGGACAGTTGAATTTCAATCTATTTAATTTGGCCTGACTTAATATAAAATACTGAACACATGAGGTGTTCTAGAAACTGGCTCTACTATGAGCTCCACAGCCCTTGAGCAATTCATTTTCCTTCTTGGACCTCACTTTCCCCATTTGCGAAAGGAGAGGTTAGACTAGATCCCTACCTTGTGGGTCGTGGACCAGCAGCACCAGCATCATCTAGAACTTGTTAAAGATGCAGAATCTCCAGTCCCGTTCTAGACCTACTGAATCAGAACCTGCATGTCAACAAGGTCTCTCAGTGATTCAGATGTACAGCAATATCTGAGATGACTTTCCAGCACTCTTGTCCAGGGGTCTATTATGCAGGACTTCCCTTTGGGACAGAAGATGGGGAGGCTCCATGGTGCAGCGTGGGGGTCAGAAGCAAGGCCTTACTTCCTGCCCTGGTTCAGTCCATCCAATTCAATTCAAGAAAAATCTATTGAGCACTTGTTCCGTGCTGGCTACTGGCTCTGACTCTGGCTGTGTGCACGTGGAGGCCCAGCAGCAGTAACGGTGTCATTTTTCTCCTGATTTGGGTCTAGCCTGTTCACAGTCAGTGTTAACAGGTAAGACTGTGCGGACGGATGGTGCGTTTCCCAGCTGGTCCGGGCCATCCCCGCCGTGAGACTTAAAAGAGGTCTGAGCAGGAAGGACTCATCTGGTGCCCCCTGAACATTTTGCAGATGAGGAAATATCCCCAGAGCCAAAGCCCCAAGGGCAAGGCCTGAGGGCACTGGGATGCAGGAGGCAGGGGCCTCTGCAGCACACAGTCCTTCCCCCCTGCCTCAACCCCTCCCCGCAGGTTCCACTGCTCCTGGTGCTGGCACACCTGGCAGTCGCCACACGTGGTCATCCTCTTCCACATGTACCTGGACCGCGAGCAGCGGGCGGGCTCGGTGCGCATGCGCGTCTTCAAGCAGCTGTGCTACGAGTGCGGCACGGCGCGGCTGGACGAGTCGAGCATGCTGGAGGAGAACATCGAGAGCCTGGTGGACAACCTCATCACCAGCCTGCGCGAGCAGTGCTACGGGGAGCCCGGTGGCCAGTACCGCATCCACGTGGCCAGCCGCCAGGACACCCGGCGGCACCGCGGCGAGTTCTGCGAGGCCTGCCAGGAGGGCATCGTGCACTGGAAGCCCAGCGAGAAGCTGCTGGAGGAAGAGGCCACCACCTACACCTTCTCGCGGGCGCCCAGCCCCACCAAGCCACAGGCGGAGGCGAGTTCTGGCTGCAACTTCTGCTCGATACCCTGGTGCTTGTTTTGGGCCACGGTCCTGCTGCTGATCATCTACCTGCAGTTCTCCTTCCGCAGCTCTGTCTAAGATTCCCTTAGTGGGCGCAGGGGAACTCTTCGCGGCCCAAGGCCCGTGGGGGCCAGCCAGCTGGAGGGAGGGGGCAAAGAGAGACCTGGGGTGGGAGTGGGTTAAATTCTAGTGCCGGTGCCGCCACGGACTCCATGGGGACCCTGGGCAAATCACACGTCTTTACCATCCATAAAATCAAGGGTTTCTGAAGTGAAACCCAGGACCCCCAAGTTCTGCATAGCTGTTGCTCAGGGACTTTTGGATTTGGAAGGTAGGCCGGGGGAGTAGGGTTCCCATCCTGGTCACACTGCCCATTCCTGGCTCCTACTTCCTCATCTCGCCTTGATCAGAACATCTTGGAGTGGCATTTAAGAGTTGTGGATGCAAATAGGTTCAACTGCTTCAAAAGAAAAAAAAAAAAAAAAAAAAAGCTTGACCATCACCGGGCTTGGTGATCTCAAAAGGCCTTTCCACAGTGATGAGCTCATTCTTGTGCTCTCTTGTCAACCCCCCGGCCCCTATGGAGAAGCCTCCTCCACAACTCTGCCTCCCTGCACACAGCAGAACTTTCTCTTGAAGAGAAGAGGTGGAAGCATTAGGCTGTCCCTTTGCTGCTGGATGCACAGGGTTCCTTGGTTCTGTTCCCCAGACCCCCAGCTTCCAGCAGCCTCTCTCCACTCAGGATGGATTCTGAGGCCTGCCTGTCTCAGAGATGGTGGTTGGGGTAGAGTTCCATAGACGAGGCTTCCCACCCATGGCTTATGAACTGACAGAGAATTTAGGGGAGGTTCGGAAGGTAGAGTGTTAGACACAAGACACAACATCCCTAGGAAACAAATATATGACGCTCTGTTATAATGAAGAGTATGTAGAGTTCAGGGACCCAGCCTCACCGATTCTTCAGCAGTTCTGATGGTCATGACACCAGTGTAGGGGTCTGGCCTCCTGGGCGCCTTGCTGATATGCTAGTTGAGAGGCTTCCCTACTTTGGCCATGCATAGGCCCTCTCACCAACCATTAGCTGTCCACCTAGAACCACAGGGATGGGGTGTCATTAGCAAGAGAGGGAACATTAAAGACACGAAGTGCTTTACCCATAGAGAAGTGCATAGATATGTGAGAGAACCTTATATCACTTTAAACTGGGATGCGTATGGTTTGGGGTGGGAGGAGAGACTTTCTGAGGGTACGGGTATGGATGGGGCTTGGGGGGAGGCAGAAGGCAGGAGATGGGATGCCACCCTGCACTTTCGAGGGTCCTCATTCACCTCGCCTCTGTTAACAACTTGATTCTTCCTGTGTCCCCTACCGATCCCCTTTTTAATGGAAAGTCGCCACCATCTGTAGTGGTGGAGGGAGTAGGGCCACTTATATAAAGATGGGATACTTTAATAAAGACTGTATATCTTCAATCAGGCTTAGTAGTCATGAATGTGTGCTTGAGACTCACTACAACGTCCCTGATATGTGGTCCCTGATATGTTAGACGCCCCCTGTCTCCTTCTTTCCCCTTTCTTGGGCTCCCATATAAGGCTAATCTAGCTCCAGCTTCAAGGTCTGGGCTGATCATGAAGGTCAGGAAGAATGCAGGCAGTGCTCAGTCAGTCATCCAGGGGACTCAGGCCAAGGCCGGTCGTACCCTTGCCCTTGCTGTAATTCTAGCACCTGGCTGCCGACGTCCTTTGCTTTATTCACACAGTGCTCATCCCTTTATCCAGGCCAAGTACCCCAAACACCCTCTGTCTGACAAGCCCTGATTTGGGTGCTGGGATCCAGTGGGCACTGAGACAGGCCTTGTCTCCCAGAGAGCCCTGCTTATTATTGAGGAAGTTCCTGGCCCTGGCTGTGCTTTCGAAATCCTGGGGAGCTTTTTAAGGAAATGTCTGTTCCCGGCCTCCACTTCAGTGCAACGGAATCAAAATTTCTGGGCATGAGGCCTGAGCATCTGAATTGGAATAAGACTCCCAAGTGGTCCACCTGCACTGCCTGGTATAAGGCCTTCTTGCTGAGGAACAGACTTCCTTTTGCACCAAGTCTTATCATGATGAGCCCTGAGGTCTTCCTTGATGGCCCCGCCTTGGATTCTCTAGGACTAGGACTCAGCTTCCCTCTTACCCCCCTACTCTCTGTCCTGGGAACTTGACTTTCCCTCAAAACTCCTGGTTCCTGCCTGTCCTCTGCTATGATGGCTTTGTCCTGCTCTGAGAGTCTCCATCATTGAGCCCGACCACTCTTGCCAGATGCTTATCAAATTTGGTTACAAGTACTTGCTTATGGCTGTATTCCTTCCTGGAATGTGACCACAGTGTGGAAGTGGCTTACCTCAAGTTCCCTTGCCAGCTAGTGGCAGAGCAAGAAGTCCAACCCTCACCTAGTTTTAGTTCAGGCCTCTTTTTTAAAGCATTAGGCCTCTTCCTCCTCTGTAGGAAGATGTCTGCAACCCTCGGAGGCTTCCACTGTTTCCTTTATTGTTGTTGCTACAGATTGGGGGGCGGGTGTTGCTCACTGGCTTATGCTCATCTTGGCAAAGACTTCTCTGGGACAATCCTTCCTTTGTACACATTGCCCCGTGCCACATGATGAACTTGTTAGATGTGCCCTAGGCATTATAAATAAACTTCTCGGAGACATTTCAAGATCCCAGCCTCTCCCACTGGAGCTTCCGGGTACTAGTCTTGATGTTCAAGCCAGGAGCAGACCTACAGGCTCTGAATTGTGGCTCCAGAGGCTGAACTCCTCAGTGTGGTATCAGCATGAAGCGCAGCCTGGATCATTTCCCTCACTCACGGGACAGGGCCATCTCCATGGGAGAACACTTCCTGGGGGTCAGGAGCCCTAAGAACAAAGGAAATCACCAGCTCAGGACAATTTCCAACATAGTGAATCCATAGACCATCAGAGCTGTAAGGCAGATTCGATCTAGGGCCTTTATGTCATGGGTAAGGAACTTAAGCCTAGAGAAAGTAAGAAATTTGACCAGCGTTATATGCACAGAGTCAGGGAAGATGATTAATTCAAACTTCAGAAACAGGTTCTGCTACTTCTGAGCTGTACAGCCTTAGGCAAATTACTTTAAACTCCTTGAGCCCCCTTTCCCTTCTCATCAAAATGGGAATAACACTCGTGCCTTGCGGAGCTATTGTGAGAAATAAATGAGGCACTGTCAGTAACTTTGCCTGATACAGAGCATAGGCTCACCCTCTTCCTTCTTCCCCTTTGCTTTTCATCTGGCAGCCTCCCCTGTGACTCCCTGAGGGGCTCTTTCTCTTTGTGATTTCAGCTCTGCTGGTAAATGTTTTACCATTTACCATAAAAAAAAAAAGCAAAGAAAGAAAAAAGAAAAAGGAAGCTAAGGGTTAACTCCTCCAGCCCAAGGCTGAGACCTGGTTTATTTAAATGTAATGTAGAGTCATTTCTTTTCTTCCTCTCAAATATATTTCAAAGCAGTGACTTCATTTTTCCAGTGGCATGGTAGGCACTCTTCATTCTTCAAAGAGAGCTATATAAAAATCACCCCAAACAGAAAACACCAGTGATTTCTGGGCTCTATTCCCATTGGCTGAAATACCGCAAAAGGAATTTCATTCCATTCCAAGTCCCGTTCTGGTTCTCTGTAGGACTCCCAGCTAAGGAAATTCCTTTGGATTCGTTTTTTGGCACGGCGTGGGTACTGCCACATGCACCAGGGAAATGAAATCCGCCTGTTGTATGGCTATTTTGTGACGAATCTTGTGAGGGTAGGCGGGTGGTGGTTGTGCTACAGAAAACTCATTGGCCTGGGATTTGGGCAACATGGGTCCCAGCTCTGGGTTAGATGTCATCGAGGCATCTAGGCTGCTGACCTTGGGTGCCTTAGTCTTTCCCCTCTCCTGGGTCTCAGTTTCCTCATTTGTGAAGCAAAGAAGTAAGGTGATCTGAAGAGCCCCTACTAGCCTTGACCTTGCTCATACACTGCAGCTTGGCCTTATTTGTCCTCACTCGTTTGGGGTGGCGCCTGACCCTGACCCATCTGGTGGGTCATGGAGTTCAGCACTTCAGTCTGACCAGGTGGGTTTGGAGTTTGATCCTTTTCCCCTTTCCTTTCTGGAGGCAAACTTTGAGACATCATACCCTAACTAGACCTCTCTGCAGTGATATTTGCATTTGAAAAGGCAGTTACCTTGAGAGGTGCTGCCTTATACAGGGACTTGCTTGGTAGCCATGGAATTTCAGTCTGTGTTGTCCCCTCACTTCTAAAATAAGCTCGGGGCGCCTGGGTGGCGCAGTCGGTTAAGCGTCCGACTTCAGCCAGGTCACGATCTTGCAGTCCGTGAGTTCGAGCCCCGCGTCAGGCTCTGGGCTGATGGCTCAGAGCCTGGAGCCTGTTTCTGATTCTGTGTCTCCCTCTCTCTCTGCCCCTCCCCCCGTTCATGCTCTGTCTCTCTCTGTCCCAAAAACATAAATAAACGTTAAAAAAAAAATTAAAAAAAAAATAAAATAAGCTCAATCGTTCTTCACTTCATCATAGTGGGGTTACAGTAACATTTTGAAGACATAATAAGATTTCCCCTGTTTCCAGGATTATTCATTCATTCAACAAATGTTTATTGGGTACATATTATACGTTGAGCATTGTTCTAGGCACTGTGGATAAAGCGGAAAGCAAAGCCACCAAATAGTTTACCGTATGCTTAGTAGAGGAACTGGGCAATAAACAGTCTGAGTAAGATGTGTGATATATTAGGGGCTGTTAAGTACTAAGGAGAGGAATAAAGTAGGCAAGGGGGGATAGAAAAGCAAGGACTGGAGTTACTATTTTAGATTGGGTAACTAGGGAGAGTCTCGCTAAAGAGGTGAACTGAGGAAGGGGGGGAATGGCATGTGCAAAGGCCCTGAGGTAGGAGCAGCCTGGAGTGTTCAGCTGTGAGGAGACCAAAGTGGCTGGGGTGCAGTTCAGGCTTAGTAGTCATTACTAATAGGGTAACAAAGATTAGAGTAGTAATGGGGGTCAGACCATGTGTGTCACAGGGTATTGTCAAAATGTTGGTTTTTAACCGGAATGAGACAAGAAGTCAGTAGAGGGTTGAGCAGTGGAGTAATGTCATCTAATTTATCATCACCATGTTGAGAAGACCATAGAGGAGTAAGAATAAAAGAGGGAGGATTACCTGGGAGGCTCCTGCAGTAATCTAGGAAAAGAGGTGATTATGGCCTGTTCCAGTGAGGTGGAAAGTTGGATTGAGTCTGGGTATATATATATATTTTTTTTTTTTAAGTTTTTTTTTTTTTTCAACGTTTATTTATTTTTGGGACAGAGAGAGACAGAGCATGAATGGGGGAGGGGCAGAGAGAGAGGGAGACACAGAATCGGAAACAGAGCCTGACGCGGGGCTCGAACTCACGGACCGCGAGATCGTGACCTGGCTGAAGTCGGACGCTTAACCGACTGCGCCACCCAGGCGCCCCTGAGTCTGGGTATATTTTAAAAGTAGAGCTGAGAGGATTTGCTGATGACTCAGACATGAGAGAAAGAGGAGCCAAAGAGGCCCCAAGGTTTTTGGCCTGGCCAACCCCCTTCGGCGACGAGGAAAACTATGCGAGCAATAGATTTGGGGGCGATGTCAGGAGGTTGGTTATGGACATGTAAAGCTTGATATGTGTTGTAGGCATTCTGTTAGACATTAAATGTAAGAAATGCAAGGTGGCAGTGGAATGTTCATAACAGCAGTTCAGAGGAAAGGCCCAAGCTGGAGAGAAAATTGGAGCAGTCAGCATCTACGTGATATGAAATGTCATGAGATTCGCTGAGATTTTTCGGGCAGTGAGGCTAGATAGAAAAGAGGCCAAGGACTGAGTCTGGGGCTAAGTAGAGAGTTTGAAAAGAAGGAGCAATCCACCAGGGGCTGTGGAAACTGAGGCACAGAGAACGTGATTTGCTTGAGCTTTCAGAGCCATCAAGCTGCAGGGCTTGGACTGGAGCCCAGGTCTTCAGCGTCAAGGTGCAGAGCTCTTCCCCCTGGCCCAAAGCACCTTCTCTGTCATGGCTCCAGCTTGCTCTCTGGATGGGAGTCCTGCCCCTCTCCCTTGCGCGGGAAGTGTTTCGTCAAGTCTGAGCAGGACAGGGATTTTTGTTTCTGTTCTTCTCAGTGTGTTTGAAGTGTTTCATAATTTTAAAATGCACTCAAATTAAAAAGGCTTTGTGGGAGGCCTA